GTGTCGTTGTAATTTATTCGAGTATTCGGTTTCAGCGGCGTTTTACTCGTCGTTTATCTCGAAAGTGAGATTTTAACCGAGTGGCAGGTCGAAAGGAAACGAGGCTGTAATATATTCCGCTCTTCCTTTCGCGATCACGTCGACGCGTGTACATGCCCGCCAACTACACCCGCTCGAATAATTAAAAGCGAGTTTTATTTTTTCGAAGCTTCTATCCGTCCGCCGTGTCTAGATCCAAAGCTGCGAGAAGAAACGAGACGAGAATTTTCCTTCTTCTTCTTTCTTTTTTTTTTTTTTTTTTTTTTCTTTTTCGATAATTCGAAACGAAATTCTTTTCTAAAAATCGCAAGAATTGTATTTCGAATAGCCGTGAATTACTTCGAGGAGAGACGCGCCGGACTTAATAAAATCGTCGTCTCTTGTGTGCCGGAAGTGATCGTGAAAAGCATCCCTCGGGGGCACGATAGAAAGGGGAGCCGTTTTCATGAACGATCCTCGCGGGCGGTCGTCGTTCTTTTCCACTTCGATTCCATTTTAACGACCATTTTTCCAACAGTTGAATGGAGTAGGGGGGAGGGGGGAGGGGGGGGCAAGGAAAGGGAGGGGTGAAGGGGGGACGAGAAGGGATAAGGGAAGCTCGTGCCCCTACGAATTCGCCACGAGTGTCGTGGGTGGTCGTGACGGGGAACGGCTTCCTCGGGATTCCTCTCGTTTCGCCAGGAATTCGACGCGCGAGAGATGCTGGCTCATAGATATAATCATCTGCCTATGGCCAACCGTTCTTTTGGAATGATATTTTACGACGTACTTCTAAAAATGATCGCCGGCCACTGATCTCGTGACCGACTTACCATTTGGTTTCAAAAATTAAAATTTAGTCACGAATAGAAGTTACCTCGATGATTTACTCGTTCAAAATATAATAATAATTGTAAACGATCAAAAGTATCCACGAATAAATGTTATTTAAGCATTTTAATAAGTAATTAATTTAAAGTAACTTTATTCGAAATTTTTAACCAGTTGCTTTTTCAATGGTTTAATGTCCAATGTATTTCAATTTACATATTTTATTGTGTAAAAAGAAATTTGTAGGATCAATAATGGAATCGTACACTTCGCAATCTCTTAATTTCAAGTAAGGGTATATATATAACGTTTCGAGGACGACGTTTATTGTCGGACCGGAACAGGTACAGATTTGTTGATAATCTCCATCTTCGTTGTTTAAATCATTACCTCGGATACATTCTATAGCTGTGCTCGTAAACTCGAGGCAGGGTTAGAGATTTTATCCGGGTCCTTGGGAATCTTTCGTTGGCCGATGTCAAAACGAATAAGTCATCGGTCATCTCTTGAAACTCGATCGCAGTAGGACATTGTTTACGAAGCCTTTGCCTTTGTCTTGCGTTCGAGAGAGGGAATCGGACGATCTGTTGGCGGGGACGCACACGTGGTTCTTAGCAGTGTAACGCGAGGTGGTATAGTCACCGCGGGAGTTCGTTCAGTCGAGAAGTCAGAAACTGGAGTATCGATCTTGTTATCTTTCGCTTTGTATCGCCAAGCCTATCTTTGGTGTGAATGTGTCGCGCTCGGACAGACGTGGCGTGATGTCTTGCTTCAGTTTTAGATACACTCTGCGAGATACTAGTGTAAATTTCAAAGAAAATATCACGTATTCTCTTTAGATTAATATTTTTTTTCTAAAAAATTATGAAAATCGAACCGAAGAAATTTCCGATCTGAATATTTATCTTTTACTTTCATCTTTCTTTCTAATTAATTCTCTTTTCCTAATTTTCTTGTAAAATCCTCGTGAAACTTTATCAAACAATTATTTCTGAACATTACAGAATTTCTTCTCTTGATCTTGTAAACGATAGCCGAGTATTGTATTATCCATAATATATATTATCCATGAGTTAGACAAGGATAAAAATTTTCGCGGATGATCAACGCCATCTCGCGTTTGGATCGCGGAAGCTTCGACTCGTTACTAGCATAGCAGAATGTGCAAGGAGGTATTCGTGACGTCACAGGGAAGGAGAGCAATATTGTGCGAGAAGGACAGAACAGACGTGCCACTATTTTTGGTTATGCGGTTCCTAATACCCCCCACCACTTCGACCACGCTATATTAAAAATTCATTAATTATCACTTTTTCAATAAAAATTTACATACTTTTAGGCTTGTATGTTAAAATTAGAACTTTGAACAAGCTTCTCGTGCCAATTTCGATACGAAATTTTTCCATTAATTATTTATTAACAATAACCTATCGTAATTTCTAATACATCGAGACGCCATGTTGAAAGTTAATTAATTATTCGTTTTCTAAATAAAAATTTCGATACTTTCGAGAATGTATCGTGAAGTTGAAGCTTCAGGCAAGCTTCTCATGTCAATTTTAACTCGATACTCTTTTCGATTAATCATCTATTAATTATTTATTGCGTAACATCGAATTGACGTCACGCGTGCGCGACGTATTTTTCATTAATTTATTATTATTGTGGCATTTATTTATAAATATAATTACACGAATCTGAAACGTTACTTCCACCGCTATATTCACGTGTAAATTTTATTCGCGATCCTGCTTTTGTTTAAATGATAAAATTAATTGTTTATCACCCGACGAAAGAAAGGGGATTTGCAAGTAACACACTGCCTATAAAAATCGTTGATAAATAATCAACTGATTGAAATTTCACGTTAAAATTGACACGGGAAGCTTGTCTGAACTTCTAACATTAAAATGCAAGCCTAAAAGTGCAGAAATTTTTATTGGAAAACGTGTAATTGATTAATTTTCAATATGGCGTCTCGATGTATTAGAAATTACCATGTATTAATGCGTAATCATTAATAAATAATTAATGGAAAGGAATTTCGTACTAAAATTGATATGAGAAACTTGTTTGATATTCCAGCTTGGAAATGCAAGCCTAAAAGTGCAGAAATTTTTATTGGAAAACGTGTAATTGATTAATTTTCAATATGGCGTCTCGATGTATTAGAAATTACCATGTATTAATGCGTAATCATTAATAAATAATTAATGGAAAGGAATTTCGTACTAAAATTGATATGAGAAACTTGTTTGATATTCCAGCTTGGAAATGCAAGCCTAAAAGTGCAGAAATTTTTATTGGAAAACGAGTAATTGATTAATTTTCAATATGGCGTCTCGATGTATTAGAAATTACCATGTATTAATTATTAATATAAATAAATAATAGAAAGCTATTTCGCAATAAAATTGATACAAGAAACTTGCCTGAAGTTCTAGCTTTGAGATATGAGTTTAAAAGTTTTGGAATTTTAAGCAGAAAACGAATAATTAACGAATTTTCCACGCGATAAAATAAAGATGTTTGTTATCTTTCTCGCACAATGTTGCGTACCTTGTCTGTGACGTCATACGATTCGTATACCTCCTCGCATATTCTGCTATGCTAGTAACGAGTCGAAGCTTCCGCGATCCAAACGCGAGATGGCGTTGATCATCGAAAATTATTTTAATTATTTTCTTCGTAATTTATAGACAAAATGTCAATGGATTATGAAATGAAAACGTAGTGTGAGACGCAGTGGATTATAATTCATAATTATAATTTAGAAATTGTTTAAATGGGATTAAATGGTAGTGTAAAGAGACGTAATAAAGAAAATATATTCTTAGAAATATAATACATACTGTATGTGTAAGTGAATAACATTTGTTTTTATAATATACCGTTACTTTGGTTAGGTTATAAACGTAGGATTAACTTTTCTTTACAACAAATAAATCATTCACATTTTTTTCAGTAATTATCTACTTATTGATATTTAAAATCATGTTTCAATCTATTAAGAGCTAATGCAATATGATGATATAACTTTCATCGATCATATATAATTATTAAATAGTAAGTAAAAATTGAAAACGTTATTAAAGGTTATTAAAGTAAGTTAAAGCTTATGCATAATTTTAATTGTTAAATTAATTTGTCGTAAATTAAGTCGAACGAATACAAAAGATTCTGATTAATGGTGAAAGTTTAATTCAAGACGATCGACATAAATCGAGGAAAACAATTTTGTGAACGGAAGAGAAAAATGGAATTTGCTTTGGAGAGTGCTTTCTCGTAGAAAAATAGCAGAATGGCCACGGTATTACAACATAACTTCTCGCCAACGGTATAAACTCCAGCAGAGCCATTGTCTGTCGCCCGAAGCAACCGTTCAACGAAAAGCGAGCTTCATTGTCATGATTCCGTAACCTATGAATGGTTGGCTATCTCGTTTAACTTCAATTACCGTGCCTTCCCTTTCATTTCATCGCTAGTCACTGTCAAGAAGCGGGGACACAACACCAATGTTCTGTCATTCTTCTCCTTTTTCCTTTTTTTTTTTTTTATTCCCCATATAACCTAAACCTTTGTTGTGGAAAAACCATCTTACTCGCGTTGGATTACTCGTTAAATTTTTCTTTTAGAAAGATCTTGTTCCAGACTAATTCAACAGCCATGAAAGATTTTAAAAGAGTAACAAGATTAATTTGTATTTTTTTTTTTTCCAGGTAAGAAACGATCGAATTTCCAGATCTGATCAATATAAAAAGTAAAAAGGAAAAAATTTCTTCGTTATATATAAAAGGAGGAAGAAAAATAAATTGACAGCAGAATCGGAAAGTAGACGATACAGTAGACGTATGTATTATATTAAACTCTTGGTAATATTTTTTAAACGATTTCCTTAATCGATAATTAATATTTCTTCCATAAAAAATCTGTCAGAATTATTAACGAGATTCATCTACTTTGGATGATGAGAAAGCAGTTCGAAGAAAACAATAGGATCCCCGTTGAAACATCGAGTATCCGGTTGAAGATGGGTAGAGGCTACAGGGGGTCCAATTTAACGATGTACAAGCGATCGAGGCGTTAATTACTTTCTAATCGTTGCTTGCCAGTATATATATATATATAATAAAAAAAAGGTAACGAAATCTAACTTTCTCGAAAGATACATTTCTCATTGTATCTTTTCTCGATCTATCGATTGCTCAATCTTGATTATTATTTTTGTCGATATCGAAATATTACTTTATACCGGATGGAAGAAAGTCAACCTCGAGAGATACACAGACCACCTGGATTTCTTCCTGGGAGGTCGCAAAAACTGGATATATTAAACAACCATCAAAAAAAAATAAAAAAAAGGTCAGAGTAAAAAAGAATCGCAGGTTTCGGGAGTCGAGGAACAGGCAACAATAATTAAAAGATACGTACTTCTTTCCTTTGACATCACTTTTAACGATTTGTATAATATAATTTGAAAATGCATGGCTTTTTTTCAGATACATGTAATAAGAAACGCTTTGAAATTGTCAATTCACAAAGGAATAAATTCTTCATTTCAAGGGTTGTATAATATAATTTCAAAGATATTAAGATAAAATAAACAATAATTTATAAGTATTTTATTGATTTAATATAAAGATAATGAATTTTTGATGAAGCTTGTCACGCTGATTGAATTTCACTTTTTTTTTTTTTGTAGATCTTCCACGGTAAAAACGTTTACCATCAGGTGATCCTTCAAGATCATTTTCCTACGTCTATATGCCGGAATCCCTTGCCTGTGAGAAAGTCCCAAGGCAGGAAGTGACTATAAATATTTGCCTAGCTAGCCGTCTTTTACGATTACAACGCGATTCAGCTTGACTGGAGCTCGATTGTACTTGTGTGACGTAATGCTCCGTTTTGCACTGTACTTGGTGTTGGTACAAGTTGAAGAAGAACGATTCAAAGTTGCGAAACGACAAAGAAGACTTTATCAGTATTATTTTCATATTTGAAATTCCATGAATCTGTAATCTTTTCAGGCATTTTAATACAAGGTTGAAAATTGAAAAAGTAGAAAAGTAAAGTATATTTTTAAAGAAAGATATTATCCACAATATTTATCGAAATTTTCCAAATTTGTGAAAAATAATCTCATTCGTTATTAATTCTTCCAACATTTACAAATTATTATAATTTACATATGTTTTTTTATTTCAGATTTCTGCAATAATATCTACTTTGCTGTACACGAGAAATTATAAACGTTAACTCCAAAATGAGGAAATCTAGAGTGATTGATTTTCGACCTCGACAAAATTGCAACTTTAGCTTAGATGATACTGTAAATAAATACTTTACATTATATTGAGACATGCTTGCGAAAATAATCAACATTAACTACTTCAACTATAATTATCCTATCAATCTTGTACGGCATGAAGAAATTAGTCATGCTTCCGAAACCATTAAAAACGGACGGAGGAAAAAGGAATAATTCACGGTAAACGCGGAGGATCCAGTTGTTGACTGTATTACGAAGGCAATATACTAGAGGGAAGCTAATAAGCAACCAGCATAGAAGTTGGCAAGGCCTAATATCAACCTAAATATACAGGACGTGAAAGTCCAGGAAGGGTCTTAAAAAGGCTATATGGATTAAAAAAAACGAGCCTACCGATCTGTAAAAAAATTAAGAAGACGCTCATATTGCAACAAAGCTAATCTGCTCAATCTTTATAACTTCTCCCTTTCGTTCCATGATCTTCAAGAGAACTAATCAGAATATCGCTATAAATATATTAAAAAGAAAAAAACGATATAAAAAGAAATTCGTCAAAAGAAACTAAAAACTTGCTTTTACAGCAAGACATTTTCATCTTTTGTTCGACTAAGTAAAGAAAATTGAAGCGATCCTCTATTTCACGAACAAGATCCGTTCAACGATTGAATAGAGCTAATAGAATTAGCTCCTAAAAATATTTATTTTCATTGAATTACCTCAAGAAGAGAGAACGAGAAATCGAGGGGAGAGAGAGGATACGATCGAACCTTTAACAGTTAATCCATGGAAAAAAAAAAAAAAAAAAAATCGAAGAGTCCTCGGGATACTTGTCGTGGAGAAACGAGATCGCAGCACGAATCCAAACGAGGGTATCGAGTTTTCATAGAGTCCTAGGAAAATATTATCGCAATGGTTGCCCGAGAAGGGGAAAGAAACGCGATTTCCAATTGGAGGAGAGGTTTTTACGCCGAGATCCCTCCGTCTATTTTTCCTCTCGTGAATCTGTTCCTCCCGTTCCCTTGCCGTACAGGTACCCTCAGGTCGACTAACTTTGCCTCGTTTAGAGCCCATTCTTCCCCATTCATTCTCTGTGTCGTTTTCTCTCGGAGGACAATCCACGGTGTCCTGGGGTCTCACGCCTCGGCATTGACCGCTACCATTCATCGGTTCATTCTCTTCCTTCGACAGCGACTCTTTGTCACCCCCCTCAGAGATACGCGGCGGAGGGAAGGAGGGAACGTGGGGAGGGGGAGAAACCGTGAAAAATAAAAGGAAGCCGAGTTTGCGGTAGAAAAATGAGAAAGAGAGAGAGAGAGAGAGAAAAGGCTCGAGCCGCGGAATTATGGAGCGTGGAGAGACGGGGTTTTCTTGCGGTATTCTATTCAATCGGCCTGCTTACTGCGATTCCAGCCATTCTCGGTGTCTGTGGTAGCAACCACTTTGCCGAAATCACGCTCTCCTTTTGACAATGACATCAAGATTTATCGAAATCCCGCAGGGATTCGATATATCGTGATTTTTGCGCTCGTGTCCCCATTGTACGATTCTTTCCATGCAACCATAAACCTTGATTACGCTTATTATTAGGTCGGCTTGTCATCGTCATTAACAATGAATTCCGAAAATCAAGCGAATGCTGTAAGTTAAAAAAAGAATGGCTTCAAAATTATAACAAACGATGTATGTTTCTTCCACTTTCGACCAGGAACGCATCATCGCGTAAGAAGTAAACAGGAAAAAGGTCGAGCAAAAAAGGAATCCCAATGCAAACAGTGTGAAATAATTATGGACAAAATATATATTTTTTATTTATATGTCGAGAAAAAGAAAAAAAAAAAACAAAACGTTTTGCAAACTGATTAACATACTCTTAATCGATATCTGTATTATTCGAAAGGCACCAATCATCCCATCCGATGATATAAAACTCGTCAATAGGCGATTATTATTTTGCTTCGTCGATTTCCCACCAATTGCAAATAATAAAAATTATCGTGTGGAATGAAAATGTCTTACGACGATCATCTCTAATCTATCTGGAACGTCGATCCTACGCCAATGACGCCACCACACACGCGTACCTACACATTCTCGTAAAAAGCACGTGCTCGATTTTCGGTTGGAATTCGCTCCTCTCGCTCGTTCCACGGATAAACTCGTGGCGTATTTGTGTGGTATTCAGCGAGAGGATCGAAAGAGAGGGTCCGACAATTACGAGTACCTGGACGAGCAGCAACGAGCAGCCTGTTGCTCCTCCCGGCGTACTCTGCACCAGTGTATATACCCGGACAGGTTTCGGCGGCGTAATTATTAATATAAGAGAAAGAGAGAGGAGGATGCTCAAGGTGGTCCCTCTCGGTGGAAGGGCACGGGGCAGTTTTTTCGTTTTTTTTTTTTTTTATTTTATTTTATTTTTCTTTCAATCAAGTTCTCGAGTGTAGAATCGTCAGCGTGCACGCACACGCGGCTGTTTTCGGGTGCGATACGCGACGTATCATAATTACCGGAGGATCAATTAATGATCGAGTCGACATCCCCGGTAATTTGGACAGAAAGCTATTTGTCAATTACTTATCTAATTCCTGTTGATTTATATTGTATGTCGTTCTCGTGTTGGCGATTCTTTTGTTTTGTTTTGTGTTCTTTTCCTTTTTTTTTTTTTATTTTAAACGTTTGTTAGAATTCTTGTTTGAATAGGATATTTTTGATGAAAAATTAAGATGTAAAGAAAGGTAATTTCGACGTATCGTTTATATGCATTTTTATAATCGATTATTAGATAGCATCAAGATTTGCAGTTGGAAAATCTAGGACTTATAATTAGAGAATTAAAAAATACTTGTTCAAATTCAATAAATATTCATCTGTTCGTCAAGAGAGAAAAATTAGAAATTCAAATCGACGTCAAGTATCAGTGGGAGCCGATACAGAGAGGATAGAGAGGCGAGGTAATATCTTTGGAAAGATGTTCCTCGAAGGAGCGCGGATAGGGTTTGGCGAAGGCATGGTGTGGATGAAATTGCAAAACGCGACGGTAGAACGATTCGTGCGTGCAATTTGCGCGAATGGATTAACGTGTAAACTCGCACGAGGGCCAAGGTAGGACGATTCGCGCGTGCGCACCAATACTTTCCACGTAAGGGGGAGCCTACTGGCCCCGTGGCACACGAACCTACAAACCGAACAAGCCGCTCCCGATCGTTTTGGGCCTGACCAGAACAAACCTTCGAAACCTGTAGCTCCCTTTTTCGTCCTTATTTCGATGTGCCAACGCGTGCATGCGTTCGGCAATAAACAATACCTGCGATTCACCATCCGATGATACGGTAACGAGGTTTCCTAAATCTTCAAATGCATCGCGACGAATATTAAAAATCGATCCTATATCAATCGTTCCTCTCGTTATTTCTTTTTTTTTTTTTTTCTGTTTTTCCGAGCAATATCTTTCCAAAAATATTATTCTAGTTTTCATTCTGTATCAGCTGATAGTTAGTTGGGCATGGATTTGAATTTTTAATTTCGTAAAAATCAAGAATTTTTGTTGGTAAAAAATTGTTTTTATTTGTGATTATCGGATTAAGAGTTGAGGTAAAATTATTTTAAGTAATAACATTTATTTAAAATATTTGAACAACATTTATTCGTAACTATTATAATTGATCCATTATATAATATCTCATTAAATTATTGAAGTAACTTTATTTTTCCTCGGCCGTTAAAATTTTGTTATCTATATTTGTTCAGTTATCGTCGATTCGTGCATTACAGCGAATAATCTTGCAAAAGCTTCTTTGCATCGCGCAAGAAGCTCGACGACACCGAGTAACATCTGTTCACAGTTAAAAAAGTTCGCAGACATGCGCATACGCTCAATTCGGTCAGACTTTTTTTGCATGGTTTTTTCGAGTTTCGAGAAGCGCACGAACGTGTGCGCACTTTCCAAGCACATAGGTGCGCGCGCGTCAGTGGTTGACGAGTTGTCGATGCAGCGTGGTAACAGTTACCGAACATGGTGTATACCGGTTTTTCTTCGTTTTCACCGCGTTCCAATGGCTTCAACCCACAAGCCTGATGCACTGGAATCGTAGTACTCTCGGTACCGTTGTAATCGTTGCAAGTAACGAAAACAAGCGACTCGTTTCGTGGTCGCCGCCAAGTACGGTAGCGTTTCCTCCATACTTTTTTGCCATTCTTCCGGAGAATGCTGTAACGCGCGTGCCACTGTCCCTCTTCAATGCCCACTGATTCTGGGTCGAGTTTTCGCATCGTCTGTCTTTCTTCCTACCAAACTGCCCCGCTGAAACGTTTCTCCGATAGACCTTATTATTCGGGTACGTTTACCCTGCCACTTTTTATCAGGAGTGAAAAACACGTATAAAGGTGGACAAGTTTTTTTCATCGTAGGAACGATTGTTCCTTAAAAAGATTATTTCGTATCTAGAGTTTTTGCCGATCATCACGACCAAATGCAAGGACGAAAAATAAGATTAAAATACGATCGTTTTCGACTCGATATTACGATGGTAAGTTTGGAAAAAAATAAAACGTGGAAATTTTGAACAAATGAATGCGATGGAAATTTAATTATACAGGGTAGGAAATTAACGTGCGATTAGTACGTTGATAAGCGAGGTAAATTGAGCATGACGTTAGCACATGCGCATGCGCAGTTGCTTGCACGCCACGCGACCACCACGCTCGGTATCTTGAAATTTTATCTCACTTCCTCCTACTTTCGTTCTCACCAATTTCTTCTGTCCCCCTTCCTCTCGCTATCAAGAAATACCGATTAGTATCTCCCCGGTTCATCTCCACCCTCTCTTGGGAACAACGTTTCTTCTCCCCTTCCTTTGTTTCCTTTCACATTTTCTCAGCCCTCCTTCTTCTTCTGCTTCTATTTCTCGATCTTCTTCCTCTTCTTCCTCTTCTTTCTCTTCTCCTTCTGTTCTCTCGGGCGCCGTCAGATTTACTCGCCTTCTCGAGTTGCTTCTTTCAGCTCTCAAACGCTTGTAGTACTTACTCCAGGCAACGTACTCACGCTGCGTGGCTGCATTTTATTCATGCTCTCCTCTGTTGTTCTCCGCCAGTGATGGCCTACGTATGTACTAGAAAGATTTCACACAGTTCCAATCGTGTTCACTCATGGACATGTTAAAAATTTACATACTTACGTTCGTACTATCGATCGATGTTATTCAGTGTCGCAACTTTTGAAATTTTTCAGATGTTTTTTTTTTTTCTTTCTTTTTACAGAACTATATCACGATGAATAAATAAAAATCAATATCGTTACTATTGGAAGACGCACGCAGCAAATTTCACGAAGGGAAATAATAGAAAACGATGAAGATGAATACGATAAAAAAATTGGATTGAAATCACATCGAGATGATGAAGAG